GACAATGATTTCTTGCTTTCTGTCTCTCTGGCAAGCACACAAACCCTACAGCAAAAATATCTCAATAAATAAATAAATAACACTATGGAGAAAAAAGAGCAGAGTAAGCCAGATGTAGGAGGAGAGTGTAGGTCTATTTTTATATCGGTCAGGTAGAAAATGTCTCTTAGCAGCACCTTGAAGAAAATGAAGGCACAACCTGGCAGATAGCTGGGAGAACTTCCTTGGCCACAAGAAAGAGACACTGCAAAGGCCTAGAGATGGGAGAATGCTGGATTTGTAGGAGGAGCACCAGGAGACCAGGAAGCCTGAAGGAGACTGAGCAAGCCCTAGGCAACATGGTGGAGTGGTAAAGGAACTCCAGACCAAGCAGGCCTGGAAGACCCATTCAAGGCTCTTATGGAAAGATATAGAAATCCCTTAGGAATTTGCATCAGAGGAATATGACTTACTTAACATATTTTTTAAAGGTCACTCTGACCACTCTGTTGAAATAAACTTGAGGTAACAAAGCAGAAACCAACAGATCCTATAAAAGGGCTATTACAACAATCCCTTGACTGGGTTTCCTTTGACATACAGCTCAGGCAAAACCTACCTGCAGATTATTTGGAAGTAAAACTCCAAAGCAGCGAGAGTAAGGGTAGTGAAAGCAAACAGAAGGTAGTACATTACTAAATTGTCACAGCCTCACATAGATACCCAGCCACTGCTCTAGCACGAGGGACTTGTTAGGGCCAGGCTGTATGTGACCACCACACCTCCCAGCTATCAGGGGAGGAATGTTTTGGACCATGTGAGAAGTCTGGCAACAATCACCATCTAGTATAAATAGTACTTCCCATATTCCCGTATGTATCTGAGCATAGAGCATCCCTGGACAAGGACGGACAGGGAGGAATCTGCCAACTCCTTTGATCCTCTCTCTCATTGGCCAGAGGTTACCAGGAACTAAGGAAAGGCGAGCTAGAGAGTACAGAGCTTGTGTCTGGAATGATAAAAAAAAAAAGTCCTGGGAGCAGATAGTGTTGATCGGTGCCCACACTATGTATGTAAGGCCACTGAATTGCAAACTTTAAAATAGTTTAAAAGAGGACCAGTAGATGGTGTAATGATTATACTGCTGAACTCCTACATGGTCGACAATGGTCTGAGTCCCAGACCCGGCAGTTTGAAACTCATGTAAGGTGTGTGTGCTTGCACGCATGCACAAAATCCTGAGAGGAGAACGAGGGAATCATAGCATGGCCAACCCTCCTGGGGGGTGATTTTTCGCTTTCTGTCTCTCTGGTGAGCACACACACTGTATAGCAAAACTCTCTCTTAAAAAAATTAGTTAAAAATTAAACGTTATGTTTATTTTATCCCATTTTTTAAAATTTCATTATAAAACTTATCTACAAATTAGTGAAAACTGAAGTTCAATATGATTTCCATTGTGCTTCCCACTAATATTTAATGTGTTTATCCAAATAAGTTAGTGGATCTAATCAGAACCATAGCAACATAGCATGGTTAAAAGGTCAGGTAGACAGACCTAGATTAGATGTTGCTCTGCCACTAACTAGCTTACTATATACTCAGAACCTGACTTTACTAGATTCTTAATAAATACTGACGTTAGAAGTCATTGTTAGTAGCCTTTCTTATTATACAAAAATGGGAAAGTGCAACGCACTTTATTACAGACAAACTTAAAACTCTGGCACATCAAATAAATGTACACTGGAAGATGAAAGTGTGGTATCAGTATAATTAGGAGTCAATATCCCTAATATCCAAACCTCAAATCGAAAGATGAGAGGGCCGAGAGGTTGGGAGGCAGCAGGAAGGTAACTGAATCACAGGGTCAACCAACGAAGTCAACCAACTTTTTAAAATAATGCAGTTTTCTTTATCAAATTAGTGAAGGTTAAAAATAGCTAATATATAATCCTGATGAATATGTAGTTGAGGGGCACTCTGAAAAACAATTTGGCATTTTAGCTATCAAATGCCTTAAAAATTCCTCATAGTCTTTCACTTAGTAATTAGCAAATAGTAGCTTTGTTGAATTAATTTATTCAAGATTGAGAAAACACACTTAAAAAGAAAGTCAGAATTAAGTCGTAAGGATGTATTTGTAGTACAGTGTATATACTTGCAAAAAATTGAGGAACAGTTTAAATATTCAACAATTAAGGAATGGTTGGATTACTGCTTATAATAAAGTACTAGGCATCCTTTAAAATCACATTAAGGGATTTTGAGATAAGAAAAATGTGTGGACTTGACGAAATCAACTTAGAGGGCAAAAAGTACCAGTTTTGGCTTTCTGCTGATACATTTTAACAACAGAAGTGAGTACACAAAGCCAACAATGAAGTAGAGGCTATTCAGACTAGGCAGTTAGGGAAAACAGGAAAGTCAAGATGGAGTACCTCCTGAGACTCAGGGAGACCCTGAAACCCTGCAGTCTACCCAACAGTAGTCAGCCCACTATAACCTGATGAAAAAATAACCTTTCTTCCCGTCTCAGTCCCTCTTGCCCCTATCTATACTGTACTTTGGAGGCATACAAACAAAATAATTAAGAGGTAAGGATAACTCCAAAGTTTGGAATTTTAAGTGCTCAGACCTAATTGAAATTATAGCCAATTAGGTGAAATATATAGAAAAGTATAGCCCTTCAAAAATTAGTCCACTCTGGGGACCAGCAGTTGGTGTAATGGCTATGTTGCTAGATTCCCATGTAGTGGACCATGGTTCAAGTCCCAAACCAGTGGCTTAAACTCACGCTGGGAGCGTGTGCGTGAGGGCCCAGGAGCTCAAGTAGAGAATGGAGAAGGGATTGTGGCATGGCCATCTCCCCTAGGGAGTGGGGGGTGGATTTCTCACTTTCTCTCTGTCTCTCTGGGGAGCGCACGCAACTTATAGCAAAAACCACTCAAAAAAAATAATAATAATAATTAGTCCACTCTGGCCAGCAGGTGGTATGCTGGTTAGGGGCACTGGACTCCCACATGGCTGAATGCGGTTCAAGTTCTGGACCTGGTGGCTTGCTTTCTCTCTCACTTTCCTTCTCTGTCTCTCCCTCTTCCAGGTCAAAATTAAAAATAAAATAAATAAAAGTTAAATAATTCTTAAAAGTTTTAAACAAATATAAAAAAAAGTCCACTCTAAGAAAAGCATGCTTGAAACCAAAATACAATCTTACCCCCTACCCAAAATATGCAAGATTTTTTTTTCCTGGTCCTACTACATTCCAGGAAAAATGTAATGGTCTTTTATGGCCCAAAGCTTTTAGGCAAACAGAGTCTCCTGACCTTCCCACCCACTGTAAAATTAGAAATAACAGGACCCATTCAACATGTGACCCCACCTCCACAAGAAAAACGCATGCACCACCTGGGAACAAGCAAGGACAAAGACGCCTCTAGCCCATGTAAAAATCCCTCCTCAGCAACTCACTGGGGACCACTCTCTGCTTGGGAGCTCTGCTCCACCTCCTCTCTCTTAATAAACTCCACTTGCTTACCTATGTCTGCGTCTCTAACTCTTCATAAACTGCAAAGAACCGGTGTCCCTGCTGCAGGTGCTCCGCCTGATTACCCCTGCTCCCCCTGCGTTTCCAGCCTCAGGAAGTAATTAGGTAGTGAAACTTTAATACCAACCCAGCCTAGAATTAAAACTGAATACATCTGCTCACCAAACTTACCTTCTCAACCCATAAAATATTGTCTGTATCTTACAGTGTCAGTCTCTTGCTACTCTTATACTAAAAAAGGAACTGGGCAAGTTTCACTTTTGTGGTTGTCTTAGTAATTTAATAAACATGAACATTCTATTTGTCACTCCAAGTCTCCAGTGCCTAGCACCCTACCTAGCACAGAACAGAAGCGCAAATAAATATTTTTGAATGAATATCACCAAGAACCTTTTTCTTCCAATTTGGCACCAAAGAAATCCAACACCTCTAAACGACAGCTATACATAAAAACAGGGATAAGAATATTTGAGTGGCTACAATGTATCAGACACTAAGCAGCACTTCCCTCGCTGTAACTTTCTAATCAATCCCTATCAATCCCTCCATGAAAGTGCCACATTTCACACTTTAAAACCAGGAAACAGATTCATTAGTGTTAGAGGACGAGTCAATGTTCACACTGCAATGAAGTTGGAAGGTTAAGTCTAAATTCAGTTCTGTAGCCTAAATGCAGAACTATAGAGGACATTTCTTTCTAACGATGCGACTTAACCAGGTTTTTCCACTAAGCTTCCCTTCAGCCCTATCTCGTATTTGTTAATTTCTGCTTTGAAGTGTAGTTATCCCTTTCAAGATCCTTCTCTCAAAGGCCGAACCCTGCTGACTTCCCTCCCCTCTCCCAAAGACGCCTTCCCCCAGGGTAAAGGACTGGCTCTCCACGCTTCTGGCTGACTGCACACTTAGAATTGAAGCTCAGCACCAGGCGGGGGGCTTGGCCCTGCCGCTAGCTGTGTCGGCACCATTTTAGCTTGACTTTACAGCCTTGAGAATCTCCCTTCGCAAAATGAGTCTCTGGAGGAGCCACGCCCGCCCTTCGGACGAGGCCGAGCGCTAGGAGTAGAGTCCTCCTAGGAATAGCAGACCCGGGCGGCGCGGGGGGCGGTTTCCAGGACAACCGAGCGCTTTCCCCTCCCCCGTCCCCGCCCCTAGCGTCTCGCCACTCCTCCATTCCCAGGCGCCAGGGTAGCGCCCAGCCCCCG